TGTCCCTCAGCTCTTCAGCTCAAGGCTAGCGCTCTACCACTTGAGCCACAGCGCCACTTCCGGCTTTTTTCTTTTTTCTTTTTTCTTATGTGGTGCTGAGGAACCGAACCCAGGGCCTTGAGCATGCAAGGCAAGCGCTCTACCACTGAGCCACCTTCCCAGCCCCGCTTTTTTCTATTTATTGGAGATAAGAGTCTCACAGAATTTTTCTGGCTGGCTGGCTTCAAATGACAATCCTTAGATCTCAGCCTCCTAAATAGTTAGGATTGTAAGGCATGGCTAGAGGACATTTTTTGTTGTTGTTGGTCATGGGGTTTGAACTCTGGGCCTGGGCACTGTCCCTGCACTCTTCAGCTCAAGGCGAGCACTCTACCGCTTAAGCCACAGTGCCACTTCCGGTTTTCTAGTGGTTTATTCATGGACTTTCATACCCATGTAGCTTTGAACCACGATCCTCAGATCTCAGCCTCCTCAGTAGCTAGGATTATAAGTTTGAGCCACCGGTGCTCAGCTAGAGAACATTTTTTATAATTAGCACAGTCTTGTTATTGCAGCCTTCTGCCTAACAATCAATACTCATAAAATTGCAGCATGTCTAAGTCACTGTGGGCTTGGAGGTGTCACAGAGACTTGCTTTGACCTTTAGCTTGTCTCTCTTCAGTCTTGCACCCAGGTATGCTGTAGCTATCTTTTCATTCCTCTCTCTATCACACTAATATAGAACTTTATCCTTCTTACTCTTGGGCAGATATAAAGAACCTGTTGTTGTTGGTTGTAGGGCTTGATCTCTGGGCTTGGGCTCTGTCTCCCAGCTCTCCAGCTAAAGGCCAGCACTCTACCACTTGAGCTACAGCTCCACTTCCAGTTTTCTGGTAGTTAATTGGAGATAAGAGTCTCACAGACTTTCCTGCCCAGGCAGGAACCGCGATCCTCAGATTTCAGCCTCCTAAGTAGCTAGGATTACAGGCGTGAACCACCAGTGCCCAGCCAGATTCTTTTTTGTTTTTGGTTCCTACTTAGCTAACTATATGGTTGGCATGGAATATTCTTCATCAACACTACATTGCCTAGATGCTGTCTCTAATCATTTCAGATTTGCTCTAGATATTGTTCTCTGGTTGGTTCTTATCCATTTGTCTTCTTGGCTAATATGAACTTTCCTAAGGAAAAAGGCTTTTTTGTTGTTGTTGTTACTAACAAGAGTCTAACTATAGTGCAAGTTTATTGCTAGACTGTCAGATGTTTGAGAATTTCAGAGGATGCCCTTAAGTGTCTCCTGAAGAAATGTTAATTGGTTCAACTTGATTAAAAGTCTCAGAATAGGGATACAGTCTTCTGATGTTCTCTCTATTTTCAGTCACAGATTTCCATAAAGCTGTTTTACTGTTGCTGTTTTACTGTTTGAGACAAGGCCACCAAGGGCTTATACTAGTATCCCTAGCTACTCAGGGAGGCTGAGATCTGAGATCGTGGTTCAAAGTAGCATGGGCAGGAAAGTCAGTGAGACTTTTATCTCCAATTAACCACCAGAAAGCTGGAAGTGGAGCCATGGCTTAAGTGGTAGAATACTAGCATTCATCACTAAAGCTAAAGGACAATGTGTAGGCCCTGAGTTCAGACCCCAAGACTGGCACAGACAAACAAAATCCTTTGAGCCTGAGAGATCAGCCTTATTTGGTTCTGAGGGAGATGGGACAGAAGTTGTACCTTGAATATAGGGTGGAGTCCTGGGAGGCACCTCATGGTGGCAACAGCAATCACCTCAGCCACTAGATGAGTATTCAGCAAATGAAATTGGAGCTCCTGCAGTTGGAAATCTGAATTACGGACCCAGGACTTGGCTAGGAGCCAGGCAAGTGGAGGATCTGAGGGCAGGAACAGTGTTGGGGTTGGGGTGCTGGGACTAGGAGGCTGAATCTAGGAGAAACAGAAATTGAACATTTCTTGAACTGCCACTTTTGTAAGACATGGTCAGCATTCCAGGAGAAATAAGATGACTAAGCAAGGCTATTGCCATCCAGGTCATTATTCTCTTGTATTAAGAATGAGAACCATATCACTCTGCCTCTCACTAGCTGTAGTGCTATAATGGTCTGACAATGCAGGAGAGACCAAAAACAGGGAGTCAAGTTACAAGGTTAAGCAGTAGAATGGGAAACTGAATCTGGATGTATAGAATTGACAATAGTCATTAGTGCTTGTTTTGACTAGTCAGAGAAAGATAGTCAAGACACAATGGGTGTGCAGAATCAATCAGAAGAGATTAGACAGTGGTGTGTGTGTGTGTGTGTGTGTGTGTGTGTGTGTGTGAGTGTGTGTAGATACTTGGGCTTGAACTCAGCACCTTGCACTCTTGTTTGGCTTTTTTGCTTAAGGCTAATGATCTACCATTTGGGTAGCTTTTTGCCAGTTGTTTGGAGATAAAAGTCTTAAGGATTTGTCTGCCTGGGCTGGTTTTGAACCTTTATCCTCAGATCTCAGTCTCCTGAGTAGCTAGAATCACAGGCATGAGCTACTGATGTCCAGCTTAAAGGGTAATTCTTAAGTATGATACTGAAATAGGAATATCAGTGTTACTTTGGAACTTGTAAGAATGCATATTCTCAGTTTCTACCATAGACAAGAGTGAACCATAGAGTCAGGTAGTAGGATGTAGCAATTTTATTTTTGTTTATTACTGGACAGTTTGTTCCTGGGCTTTGCATATGCTAGGCAAATGCTCTGCCAACGAGCTACACCATCAACCCACTAACCTGTGTATAATAAGAATTTGTGACTTAGAAGCACACTAATTTTTTTTTTTTTTATCGGTCGTGGGGCTTGAACTCTGGGCACTGTCTTCAGATCAAGGCTAGTGCTCTACCACTTGAGCCACAGCACCACTTTAATGTTTGAGAACTGTTGGTTATAGAATGAGAACTCCATGAAGCCTTTTTTTTTTTAAGACAAGGTTTTACTTTGTAGCCCTAGCTAATCTGGAACTCATTATGTAGTCCAGGCTGGCCTGGAACTCATGATCTTCCTGCCTGAAGCACTTTTCCAAGTGCTGGGGTTACAGGTATACTACCCCATACAGCTACTATTATGTCTCCTGAACTATTATGTCTCCTGAATAAAGTACATAATGGTGAATCAGGGATCTTGAATGAATGGTGAATCAGGAATCTTGCAGCCTGGTCTAGGCTGCAAGAAAGCAGTGAAATGAGGATAGTTCTCAGGGAGGATGGCTTCAGGAGTCAGGGACTATATGACTGAGTTTCTGTGAACAGAAGGAACAGTGAACAAACAAGAATGTTAAGAAGGAGATATTTAGGTCCTCACCTGGATGACCATGGGCAGCAGCTTTCCATTAGAATCCAGCTTCAGCATGACAAGGGGGGCAGCTAGGTACTGCTTTTCTCCCTGGATCACATTGGCTGGAATTCCATCCAGCAGAATAAAGTCTACCTCAAACAGGGAACCATTCTGGAGAAAGGAACAATGTTTCAATTTTTAAAGTTCAGAGTCTACCCCAAGGGTAGAGTGGCTGGTGTGCTTAGGGAGGGAAGGGTAAAGCAGTTGAGAACATGCAGTCCAGCCTTTTTCCTTATGTATTGTAGTTCACTTCCTCTCAGTTTAAAGTAAAGAAACATTCTAGTAAGAGTAACTGTCTTGTGCAGGGGTGTGTATAGTAGATTTGGGTTCAAAACCAGACATACTCAATACAGTTTGCATCACTGGCATTAACTCCATGCCCAGAGGAGCCTCTGCCCTGTTGTCCCCTAGTGCTCTGATCTCTGGTAGGCTCCCATTCACTCAGCAATCCTTTTTTTTTTAAATTTTATTTAAATTTGAGGGTAGCAGCTACAACCTCTTTTAGCTCTTGTTTCCTTTGTTATTGTTGTCATCCTCCAGGTGGATAACCCATCTCTCCTAAACCAAGGGTCTGAAAGTTTTTATAAAATCTGAGTTCCCCTCTCCCCCATCCCTTTTCCCCAGTGGCCTAGGCTTTCCCTTTTCCTAGCCATGAACAGTGGCATTTAGAACACTGATGATATACCCAAATGTCATCGTTCCTCTCCCAACATGCCTAGAACTCATCTGTTCCCTACAGATCTATTCTGTTTCCTCATACATACTAGGTGTTACTTGTAGTTACTTTGCCAGTTCTAGATTTTTCCAGTAGGGGGCTGCACCAAGGAGCAAACCTCTTTTTCTCTGACTTAGCTTTGCTTTCTTGTCTCATCAGTTTTTCTCACCACACTGCTAAGCAATGCCTGGTGGGGTCAGGTACCTGGAGTTCTTTCTCCAGCTGAGCTCGAAGCTCTTCTGTCCCAGAGGGCAACACCAGCCTGGAGGGCAGAGAGGTGGAACGTCTCAACAGCATGGGGTTGGCGCCATTGAGGAACTGGTAACCAAAAAGCTCATCATCCTGCCAGCGCTGATGAACCTTCTCTGTGGGTTGGGCATGGGAGGGAGAGTATTTATCACAACTTGGCTATCTCTCTTCTCTAGCTCTACCATTTAGACTATCATAGTTCCCAGCCCCTTTCTTTCATTCTCGAGTCCTCAGTGAGGTCAACAAGTATTCTGTGTTTTAATTTGGCAAGGAATTATGGAGAACATGTAGTATAATGAATGGGTCAGCAAAAGGGACCCTCAAGGGGTTATGGAGACATGGGGGAGCCACTGACCAGCTAGAGCACTCTTTTGGCCCCAGAAGATTTGATCAAAGTCTTCTAGGCGGTTCCAGCAGCTCAGGAGGGTGTAAACACGTTTGAGGATGGTCTCCAGAGCCCTAGAGCAAGTATTGAGGCATGAACCTATCAGCTGACCGCTCAGTCCCTCACTATACATAGCCATTCTTGGATCACCCAGCCCCGATGCCACACTGTGCTCCAGTCTTGTTCTTACCCTGCCTTCAGTGACCATTCAAAGTCCCGCCTCTTCTCCTCGTGGAATCTCATATTTGGAGGTAGTTCCTCCTTACAGTCTGCAGCTATTGTCTTGGGTAACCCTTCCTTCCAGGTGGCCCAGCTAAAGTTGGGGAAAATACTTTAGGGAAGATGTTGAGGTTAGTGAGTGGGGGTAGAGGTAGGGAAAGGGTAGGACAATTGGGAGGCCTGTGGGTGAGTGGTCACCGGTAGATCTGCTGTCTTTCCTTCAGTTCCTTCTCTCGATGCTTCTGGAAGACATCCAAAGCGTTGTCTCCTGCCAGCCGGGCTGGGGAAACATTAAGATTAGCCATAGACCTTTGTCTGATCTAGGACTCTCTTCTAATTCTCCTCAGATCCCTTTATATAGTAAGAATCCATGGTTTTAGTCGTGCTTGCTTGTTTTGTATATCTGGCTTTATCTTTTTTGTGGGGGGGCGGTGGGCAGGAGGCTTAAACTCAGGACCTGGGTGCTATCCCTGAACTTCTTTAGCTCAAGGCTAGCATTCTACTACTTGAGCCACAGTACCATTTTCAGCTTTTTCTGTTTATATAGTACTGCGGAATTAAACCCAGGCCTTCATGCATGTTAGGCAAGCATTGTACCACTAGCCACATTCCCAGCCCTGGCTTTACCTTTGATGATTCTCAGTCATGTCTATTCCATTGCCTCTCATAAACTTTCAATTTAACTTATTTTAGCTACATCTTTTGCTAGGGCACCAAAGTCTTATCTCTTATCTTCTGCCAGATTATATTTCATCACCATCCAAGGCTGGAAAAAATGATCTCAGTTAAAGTAACAAAATCTTAGTCACCCATGGGCACACATCTATTTGCTGCTGCATACTTGGCTAATTTCATAGGTATTAAATCTCACCTGACACATCTTTACCTGTCCTCCAAAGATTCTGTGTTGTTTACTTTTATTACCTGGCTTCATTTTTTGGACTTAACATTATTCTGTTTTTATTGACTTGTCCCTACTACTACCTATCTTAAACTCACCTGTCTCAAAGCCATATATTTCATGTTTCCATCCTTATTTGCCTGTGTTTTCCACAGTAAAAAAGTTCAATATCTGTTGCCCTTATTCATCCCCAACTCCTGCTACAAGTACTCCTTATCTTTCAGTTATCTGTTATTCCAGTCATGTTGTATTTGTCTCTATAGTTGTTATTGCCCACCTCTTACTCCATGGGTTCCTCACCTGGTTTCTTCGCTAACTTGTTCTGAGTCACATAGAGATGTCCTTTCTGCTGTAACTTTGCTTCTGTTTTCCTGCTGTTGGCTGCCCCTCATACTGCCTGCCCAATGTTTCTTGGAAGACAGGCTCTTCAGTACACTCATCCCTCTCTGCAGCCTCATTTGCAGCATTACATACTCTGGGCAGCACTTTGTGAATTCACAGCTCCTTCCCATTTCCTGCCTTGCATCCTGTATCTTTATTCTTCACCTGTCATGGAGTCATCTTTTTCTAAGTCCCCTTTGTCCTTTCTCAGCTTTGTCCCACTGCTCCCAGCAGAACAGGCCATGTGTTCACTCACCCGTACCCTCTGGCAGGCTCAAGACGCCCTTGCCTTGAACCCAGCGGTAGCACGGGAAGGCCACTTCTTCTGCGCAGGCTCCGGGGCCCTGCACAGTGATTTGGTCGCAGAACCACGCATCGTCCACTAGTACATGCTCTTTGTGCAGTTTCACAAATTGCAGTGGCCCCAAGTCCTGGGGGGTGTCCAGGTAAAATTTCTCTTCCTGTGGGAGCCCAAACCACCAGACTCAGCAAGGACTGGGAGAGGCTGCTCTGAGGACAGAGCCGCCCCTTTGGCGAGCCTTAGTTTGTCAAAGCCTCTAGTGACAACACTCCATCTATTGCACAACCTGTCTGGTAGGTCTCAGGTGCCTCTTTTCTATGAGAAAGACCAGGGACCACAGGGTTCCTTTGCCCATATCATCCCATTCTTGAGCTCTTACTGCATAGGTACTTGGCAGAGCTTTATGTCTGACCACCGATCATATATTTATTCTGGCTTGGGCCATTTGGTGCAGGAGTCGGATGCTGTCAAGATTTAGGGTTGGGGAGACACGTTTCCTCCTTGTGCCTGACTATGTTCCAGACTTACAAGCTTGCCAACTTGCACTCCCAGCCTTCTGTCTCTTGTCTGTTCTTGTCTGGTCTCCCACCTGCTCCCCCTCTGGCTGGCCAGCAACCAGGGTCCCAACTCATCACCCACTGACCTGGCCTCGTGTGGGCCGCAGCTGCAGCTCCAGCTCTGCCTCCCTGTGGGCCCCAACCAGCCACAGCCGCACACGGTTGTACGATCCCGAGTAGACCCAGGCCCCTGTGGTCACGCGGATACAGTAGCGGCCCATGGCGCCCTCCAGATGTTCAAACGAGGGAACCAGGACTAGCTCTGGTTGCTGGACTACCTAGGGTGGTTGCCTCAGGGCTAGTTCCAGGACTTTAAAAGATAGGTCTGTGTGCCCGCCCTCACACTCCCAAGTCCCGCCCCAGACTAGCCTGAACCTGTGAGCCAAGCCGTAGAGCAGGCTGTGGGGAAGGCTGTGCCTCCTGTGGGCTACTTTCCCAAGATAAAAGAACCCAGGCCTGGGTGAGGCCAAGAGCTGGGCTGTGGCAGGGACTTTCTGGACTGCCTCCTTCCACCCAGCCTGAGGATAGCAGCCTCTGGGTGTGACGGACCAGCTCGGCCGGAGCACTGGAACCGACGGGACAGGGATCTCGGGATAGGTGGGCAAGGAGTTGGCGAAGTGACAAACAGACACAGACTCAAAAGAGTTGCATCTGAGTGTATCTTTATTGAGGAGAATTACATTTTTATACAGTGTGTGATTGTGACATAGATTCTTGGTTTATTTAAGCACATAATCAATTTTTTAAAAAGGCAAAGCATTGATGAATTACATGAAAATTGATGATTATCCCACCAACTGTTTAAGCTAAGTGGTGCGAAACAAGTCTAGCATATTGTTTAATAGAATGCATCATCGATTCAGACTTCTTATGTTTAATAATTAACAAACCTAAGACAGGGCTGTACTTAATATTGTACTCTTTTTATTTTTATCCAACTATTTTCATCTTTATAAGCTCCTGTATAAGGAAATGGTTCATCGGTGGTTCAGGAAATATGATGTTACTTTATATTTTGTGTGAAACCACCATCTATTCCCTATAACATAAGTTGGACTAAACTTAATCATAACTGTTTTCTTTTATAATCAGAAGTCCCTTTTTTTTTAGAACTCCCTGGACTTCTGGGATAATTCTTTCTAACTTAGTTTAATTTATAGATTCTGTCTGTTGAACATATCTGGAAATTTTAAGTCTCTATATTTACTATGCGTAAGCCGCAAAACCGCTTGTGAAGTTATAGGAGTTTCTGGAGGCAGCGTCACATCAGATGATAGATTGATTGGAGCATTGCCCACATTTAATCTTTGGTCTTAGTCTTTATTATTTAGAGAAGCCATCTCTATTGGACTGGAAAGATACAACATGCTCTGTTTGCGAGTCAATAGAAAAATAGCCAAAACGAGAATAAAGGCAACGAATGTACAGCCAAGAAGAATATAGTAAGAATAAAGGTAGAGGCTATAAAAGTGCAGCCAAGTGTATGGGAAGCCTTGAGCCAACACCCCTTTTCTGCAGGCATGCTTCCTTGAAGCTCTTTGTCCAACGTGATCTCTCACGCAGACTCCGCAGGAGGTGGCGTGGCATCTGGGTATGATTGAACCAGAATATGACACTTCCTAGGCTCCAGATCTTGCAGGTATTAGAAGGAAGAAGGGGCAAGCTAGTCCATCTTCAGAATGGAGGGCAAAGCCATCACTTCTCTAGGCTGGAACTGGGGAAAAGCTTTTGAATGGCTGGACTGTGGAAGGCTCTGCCGGCTTTTGGGAGGTGCTCTGCTGCTAGATGGCATGCAGCACCTGATCTTTGTTGCCTTGGAGCTCTGTCCGAATGAGCCAGGATTCCTCATGTGGGAGCCCAGGGAGGATGGAGAAGCAACACTTCAAGATTTGCCACCCTACTCATTCTCTTCCTCCTGCCTCCCACCCCCCCATTTCCCACCCCATCTAAACATCCCAGGTATTAGGATCCCAAATACACCAAATACCATGTACCATCTTGAGAAAGGCCCAAGGCAGGGTAGTGAAAGCTTCATTCTGTTCATTTAACAGTGGCTGTAGAAAATGGGTAGCACTCAAGCATACCAGTCTGGGTTAAGGTGCAGGATAGGGACCCAGTAAGAGATAAACAATTCCCATAAACTTTGTCCTTAAGAGAGTGCAACCTCTTCTCCTTCAGGAAGTTCCAGGTTAATATTTCATCCCAAGCTATCTCCTGATCCTTTATGGATTTTAGGTTAGGAAATCCAAGAACAGCAGTTAGGTCAGTACTAGTTAGGGACTTTGTAAACAGTGGAAGTCTGGTTCAGGACTCAGGCTTTGTCACCGTTCAGGAATCCATCAGTTGAAGTACCTTGCACAGGTGCCTATCTACATCTTTGTGGCTCTCAGTGGAGTTGTCTGGTGGCTTGAGCTAGAACACTATAGGAAAATTGCTTTCTTAAGTCAGACTCAAAAAAATGACTTGGTGTGTTTGATGTAGGGATAAGTCAGAGGGGCTTCTAGGCCCACCATCTGCCATCTTGTAAGCTCATGTGTTCTGTGCTTGGCACTAGGTGTCTGTCATTTGACAGCTTCCTGTCCTAATTTTTTGAGGTCATCTATTTTGTAAAATCCCCATTGTTCTGTATAGCAGGATCTGACCTCTTGCACACGTTTTCACACATCATTTTTACCTTGTAGAAAAGAGTTTATTTCATACCTATTTCCAAAGCCAGTCCATAGTTTAGCTAGCTTTTTTGTGTTTGGTGGCTTCCTTTATGCTGTGTGTAGTGCACTATGGGGTCACATGTAGAGAGAGGGAATGAATAATGGAGAAAAAGAATTCAAGCTGCTATGTAAGCTAAAATGAGTTACTATATTTAAATACTCAGAACAATGCCGGACACATATCAGCTGTTTTAATTTATTTACTTTCTTACTTATTTTTGCTAGTCCTGGGCTGAAACTCAGGGCCTGGGCACTGTCCCTGAGCTTCTTTGTTCAAGGTTAGCACTCTACCACTTGAGCCACAGCTCCACTTCTGGCCTTTTCTGTTTATGTGGTATTGAATAATTGTTGTTTTTGTTGTTTTGTCAGTCAAGGGGCTTGAACTCTAGGCCTGGACACTGTCCCTCAGCTCTTTAGCTCAAGGCTACCACTCTACTACTCTACCACAGTGCCACTTCTGGTTTTCTGGTGGTTTCTTGGAGATAAGAGTCTCATGGACTTTTATTGCCCCAATGGCTTTGAACACTGATCCTCAGATCTCAGCTTCCTGAGTAGCTAGGATTACAGGCATGAGCCATTGGCGCCTGGCAGTACTGTAGAATTGAACCCAGGGCTTCATGCATGCTAGGCAAGCACTGTACCACTAAGCCACATTCCCATTCCCTGTTTTTATTGTTTACCCCGAAATGTCGGCTTTAGTCTTAGAATTTTCCCATTATTACTTATCACATTCTGCTTCTTCTTATCTTTCACAGGCCTCTTCTTCCATTGGGGTTCTTATCCCTGAAGATCCACCTTCCCTCATTTTTTTTTTCTTTTTTCTTTGTCAGTCATTAGGCTTGAACTCAGGACCTGGATGCTATCACTGAGTGACAGCTCTACTTCTGGTTTTTAGGTAGTTAGAGAAAAGAATCTCATGGACTTTCCTGCCTGGGTTGGCTTCGAACTCAGTCCTCATATCTCAGTTTCCTGAGTAACTAGAATTACAGATATGAGCCACCAGCACCTAGCTACTTTCTTTTCTTTTTAAGCACATGCATTATATTGCAGAATATATTAATTTTTTGGCAGTCCTGAAATTAAATGTAGGGGTTCCTGCACTCTAGGCAAATACTTTTCCACAGAGGCACACCCCAATCCAGACTTTGTTTGGGCCCTTAGAAGTACACCAAAGTTCAACTCTCCCTCTACACTAATAGTATATCTGCTCTCTGTGCTAATAAAAACTTCTCATTTCCTGCCTTTGTACAATTTCACTTCTTTAAAAAAATTTTTGTGCCAGTCCTGGGGCTTGAACTCAGAGCCTGGGCACTGTCCTTTAGTCCCCCCTCCCCCTTCCTGCTCAAGGCTGGTATGCTACCACTTGACCCTTACCTTCACTTCCAGCTATTTGGTAGTCAACTGGAGATAAGAGTCTCACAGACTTTCCTACCTATGCTCCTCAGATCTCAGCCTTCTGAGGAGGATTACAAGTATGAGCTACCAGCTCCAGGCTTGCCTTTAAATTAACTAATTTGTGGTGCTGGCATATACTAGGCAAGTACTTCTACCCCTGAGCCAGGTTCTCAACCTTAAAATTTAAGTACTTTTTTTTTGCTGATCCTGGGGGCTTGAACTCAGAGTCTGGACACTGTCCCTGTGCATCTTTTGTTCAAGGCTAGTGCTCTTCCACTTGAACCACACCACCACTTTCTGCTTTTCTGAGTAATTTATAGGAGATAAGAGTCTCAAGGACTTTTCTGCCCTGGGCTGGCTTTGAACCATGGTTCTCAGATCTCAGCCTCCTGAGTAGCTAGGATTATAGGTGTGAGCAATGGTGCCTGGTTCCCAGCTTTAATGTCTTCATTAAAGCTACTATCACTAGATTATGTTCACTAGGGGTGAGCAAGGATGGACCTTGCATTTTATTATAAAATCTTAAAAGGGCTTTGTTAAGACTTTCTAAACACAAGAACAATTTCATCCTTTTTCTTTCTTTGTTCCAGTTTTTGCTATATGATCATTTAGAGTCCATGTGTGGGACTACACAATTCCTATTTGTTTCTTTAGGAACTTACATATAAGCATAATATTATAAATCTTGCAATTTTGAACTATGTAATTGTTGTTTTGTTTTTTGGGTCCGGTCGTGGGGCCTGAACTCTGGGCCTGGGCATTGTCCCTCAGCTCTTCAGCTCAAGGCTAGCGCTCTACCACTTGAGCCACAGCGCCACTTCTGGCTTTTTTCTTTTTGCTTATGTGGTGCTGAGGAATCGAACGCAGGGCCTCATGCATGCAAGGCAAGCGCTCTACCACTGAGCCACCTTCCCAGCCCCTGGACTACGTAATTGTAAGATCTGACTTCAGGGTAGACATTGTAACATCTATTTTTCAATTAGTAATGTCTCTATCTGCTCTAAGGTCAGCACTTCCCTCTCCAGGTAGTGTCACTTGCTTCTTCATTCGGTGGTGTTCCTGGGGTAACCTTTTTCTATGAATTCTTATGGGTTGTTTTCTGTGCTGTCACAACAGTGACAGTAGATTTGGGTTTTCAAACTT